TAGGCAAAGTTGGTGTCATTGTAGTCCTAAAACAAACATAAGTGATATTCCTAGGTAATTTCCCAAACATGAATGACTATCTACGGAAATTAATTAATAATCTTAATCTTAACAGTACATTAATACTTGCTCTTAATCGTAATTTGACTCTCAAAAGAACTTTTAGAAAAGATTAGACAAACACAATTTACTTATATAAACAAATTTTAAACGAATAAGTCAAACAAAAAAAAATCAAAAACACTTTTCGAAAAAAAAATATTTTAAAAAATGCTTATGAAAATAAGTATTTTTTAACAGCAACCCTAAACGGGTTCTACATGTAATAGAATTGATCCATCCTAATCTGGCCCACTTAATGTCAGTTCTATTTTTTTTTCTTAGTTTAGTTCAATACTAGATAACCATATGAAAATAAGGGTCGTTTGACCATATGTGATATGGAATGATGATATTATATAAAAATATGAAATTATGATATGAAATTGAAATTTTGTATGAAATTTTTGTGTTCGTATACTTTTTCATAAACATAAGAATTCCATAAGTTGTAAACTATTAAAATAACCCAATTGTTTATTCAATCTTACCACATACACAAAAAATTATAAAATCGAATGATAAATTATTACTAGAACTTCAGCTAAGACGGAATTTAGAAGTATGGCAAAATGTGCAGCAAAGATCACTTGGCTAGTGAGGCTATTCAAAGAACTTGGTGTTAGTATTGAATTACCTGTGAATATGATGTGTGACAGTAAGACTGCAATCCAAATTGCAGCAAATCCTATATTTCACTAAAGAACTAGATATATCGACATAGATTATCATTTTGAAAGGGAGAAAATATGTCAAGGAATGTTGAAGACAGTTCATTCATACTAAGAATTAGTTGGCTGATTTGCTCACAAAAAGCCTGAGTAAAGTCTAACATCAAGTGTTGTTAAACAAGACTGGAGTTGCTAACATGTTTAAACCATGAGCTTGAGGGGGGAGTGTTAACTAGATTATGTTGTTAACAAGCTAGCATGGTTAGCTTAGTCAGCAGTGTTAGTTACAATTATTTAATGTTAGTTAGTGGTAGTTAGTTCTAGAAGCTTCCTAATAGCAACTACAATTACATGTTAAGTGTGTGTTATATGAACTCCTCATATTGTAACGAACTCTATATTCAATAGAAGATATTTTCCTGTTCAATTATTTCTTCTTCTTCTTCTGCATAAATCAAAGCTCGATTAATGGAGATTAACAATTTTTTTTCGAGGAAGCAATGTCACGTGACATCTCATACCTCTTCTTAAATTCGCCCCCTGCTTGAGGACATTTATTGCATATATCTTAAGTGAAACTTTCATATATCTATTTTTATTTATTATATATCTACTATTTATAATTTTAATAACTATATGAAAATATTGAATTGCGTTATTTGAACTAAATAATTTTTTTCCCTCTTAACTGTTTTCTCAAAAAGTATGTTTTTAATTTTGTTTACAAAAA